GGAGAGAGGAGGGGGCAGGTAGCCCCTTTTATAGTGGGCAGGCCTACCTGCCTGTTGCCAGGTAACTGTGGGGAGGAACATACCTGGCTGCTGCCAGGTAATTGTGGAGGTGGAGTTTAGACAGAATACTAACATCACCAGCTGCGGGTAATTGGCTAGGTTTCCAGTACCAGGCATGACCACTATCTTATTGAGAAAGACTTAACTCCAATTAGAGAAATATTGGTTACAGTCAGTGCCATGTCTGACATGGCCTTGGTAGGGGTGGAATGACATGTCACTGGGGATAGATTTTGAGGTTTCAACAGCCCTCTTTTCTCTTTCTACCTAAGACCATAACTTAGCTCTCTGCTATTGCTCCAGCATCTGCCTGTATGCCACCATGCTCTCTGTCTTGATGATAATGGAACTATAAGCAAGACCTCAATTATATAAATGCTTTATTTTATGAGTTGCCTTGGTATTGGTGTGTGATGGTTTGTACATGCTTGGCTGAGGGAGTGGCACTATTAGAAGGAGTGCCCCTGTTGGAGTAGGTGTACTACTGTGGGTGTGGGCTTTAAGACCCTCATCCTAACTGCCTGGAAGTCAGTATTCTGCTAGAAGCCTTCAGATGAAGATGTAGAATTTTCACTTCTTCCTGCACCATGCCTGCCAGGATGCTGCCATGTTCCCTCCTTGATAAAGGACTGAACATCTGAACCTGTAAGCCAGCCCCAATTAAATGTAGTCCTTATAAGAGTTGTCTTGGTCATGATGTCTGTTCACAGTCATAAAACCCTAAGACAGAAGTGGGTACCAGGAGTGGGATATTGCTGTGATAGGCCTGACCATGCTTTTATTTGGATTTGGGAAGCAGTGGAATGCTTTAAATGGGGCTTAGTGGAATATCCTAGTAGGAATATGGAAGAATTTGTTACTGAGAGTGATTTGAATTGTGCAGACCTGGCTGAGGAGGTTTTAGTGGAGAATTTCAGTATGTGGCCTAGAGACTGTTTTGTGGTATTTGGTGAAGAATGTGGCTACTTTTTGCCCTTGTCTGAAGAGTCTGCTGGGGGTTAAGGTAAAGAGACTCAGATTAATTGCATTGACAAAGGGAGTCTCAGAAACATCCATCATAGACTTTGTTTTCTGGTGAAGTCTCATGAAGAGTATTTTAAACAATCATAGCAAGCTGAGAAAGGAAAAATATAAAATATATGGTTGAAGTATTAAAGGGGCATCAGGAAATGAAATGGACCAGAATCCCATGTTCAAGGATATTAAATTGAGTTAAGGGAGTAATGACCTCGGGGCAAAATTCTACCCAGCTAAATTTAGATCCAAGCATGGTAGTACAAACCTTTAATCCCAGGAGGCAAAGACAAGCAGATCTCTGAATTCAAGGCCAGCCTAGAAAAGAGTAGATTCTAGGTGGAGAAAAATTTAAATCTAGGCCTGCTAGACCACACTTTTAATCCCAGTGCTTAGGAGACAGGCATGTAGATCTGAGTTCAAAGTCAGTCTACACAAGTTCCAGGACAGCCAGGTTTAGGCAGTGAAGGAGTTGGAAAACAGAAAGCTGGTGATAATGTAATATAACAAAGTGGCCATGATCCAGCCTCAGCAAGCAGCAGAACATGGCAGCTTTGGCCACATAGCTCTGGCTTTAGAGTCCAGAATAAAAGGGACTACTGGTACAATTGATGCTGGTTAGCTGGAACTAAGAAATTAGTAGTGATTAAGAGACCAGTATCACTGAGGTGGAATCTTCTGGGAAGTGTTTTCTGAGAACAAAAAGAAGCTGTGTTCCAGAGATAGCCAAGGTTGTACCTCCTTCAGCAGATGTACTTAGTAATGTTTAAGAGTTACCCAGGTGGTACTGGTTTTGAAGGCATGAAGAACAGCTGAGGCTTGGAACTGTGAGAGGCCATGGAGGGCCATGGTGAAAGTGCAACCTCAGTTGATGTCCTAGGACTGAAGGAATCATGCAAAGGATTTGAGGCTTGGCACCATGAAAGGAGCCTATGAGAGGCTATTGGTGAAGCCTAGTTGCAGTGGAAGACCCCAGTGTATTGGAGATGCCAATACCATGAGATGATTAACAAGAACAGCAGTGGCAGTGGAATGAATCAACCTGAGCTTAGAGTGCTACAGAGGGCAGAGCTGGAGAAGTGACATTAGCCCTTTGGAGGAGCCCAGAAGATCATGTGTGAATCCAGACATTGAAATAAGAAGCTGTAACATTGAAGTTTGAGATGCCAGAGCCGTGGTCTATCTGCTGAGGAAAGCTGCTAACAGAGAGTGGAACCAGCACAGAAAAAAGAAGTTTGTTGCAGTCAACAAAGATGAAAAAGGAATTGGAGATCTGAAGACTGCTTTGACATCAGCCATGGAGATGTAGAGTTTGGAGTTTGCCTAGCTGGTTTCCTGTCTTGCTTTGGGGATTACAGTTAAGTGATTAGATGAATCTCAGAAGAGACTTTGAACTTGAGACTGCTATAGACTATTGGGAGTTTTGAAGTTGGACTAAATGTATTTTGCATTATTGTATGTTTAAGTATGGCTCCGATAGACTCATATATTTGAACAAGCCTATAGGGCCCAGGGAGTGGAATGTCATGGTTTGTACATGCTTTGCTCAGGGAAAGGCACTATTAGAAGGTGTGGCCCCGTTGGAGTAGGTGTGACCTAGTTGGAATAGGTGTGTCACTGTGGGTGCGGGCTTGAAGACCCTCATCCTAGCTGCCTGGAAGCCAGTATTCTGCTAGCAGCCTTCAGATGAAGATGTAGAACTCTCAGCTCTGCCTGCACCATACCTGCCCAAATGCTGCCATGTTCCTTCCTTGATGATAAGGGACTGAACCTATGAACCTGTCAGCCAGCCCAATTAAATGTTCTCTTTATAAGAGTTGCCTTGGTCAGGTCATGGTGTCTGTTCACAGCAGTAAAACCCTAAGATATAGTGTCTCTTCACATCAATAGAACAGTGATTAAGGAAGGGTATTATGTGTGTGAGAGATGTGTTCAGGTGCATGTTTGTAAGTGTGTGGGTACTTATGTACAAAGTGTGTAGAGATCAGAGGCCAACCTTGGGTGTTATTTCTCAGGACCTGTCTAAAGTATTTTTTAAGATAAGATCTCTCATTGGCCTTGGATTCACAAGTAGACTATGTAACTGCCCATTCACCCCACGTTCGGGGGTCACCCTATATCTGCCCGAGCTGCTGCTTCAATCTGTGGGTCAGGGTCTAGCAAGAGAGTGGGGACAGAGGGACAAGAGACTCGAAGAAATAAGACAGAGTCTGGTCGAATCTCTCCTTGAGTCTCGCCTTTATTCAAAGGAAATCATGGGTATATATAAGCATAAGCAGGGGAACGCAACTGAAGAGACTTTACCACATGCACCTAGCAGCTGGGGGCAATAAACAACAAAACAAGATATAGGAGAAAAACATGTTTATCAGAGTGTGCTCAGCTGTTGTAGGCTGTTGAAAACAAGTCTCTTGTCAGGGTATATGGCTCGATATGGCTGCAAAGATGATAGCCGAGTTCTGCTCAGAGTCGGCTCCCAACAAGACTAGACAGGGATTGCCTGCTTCCTCTTCCTCAATGCTGGCATTATAAACTGGGCCACCTTTATCCCTTACATTACTTATGGGGATAGAACTCAACTCCTCATGCTTGTGTGGTAGGTATTTTCCTGACTTCTTAGCCCTTGGATATCATGAATGTTTTCACTTTCATAGCAGTCTTATTGAAATCTTGAACACATTTTCACTGTTGGGGTGCTTTACACTTGGTTTCCTTTCTGCTCAAGTATCTCTACCTCCAATGTTCATTTGGTCACCATCTTTGGATTTTGACTTCAAATATCCCATTTTTGTTAAATCTTTGGTGTTTTCCTTCTTCCATTCCAGTCTCCTGCCTCCAACTCCATTTACTACCATTTCATTCATTTTCACACCATGTTATTACCTGACACAATTGTGGTAGCTTATAATTTAATTCACCTCTACAATGAAATCAGTTATGAGTAGGGTCCTTCTTTACCTTGCTCATGACAATCACAGTTTTTAATACGGAATTTGCCACACATATACTAGCTCATTGAATGACTAAATCTCATCTTAACAAATCTTCAACCCATGGCACAAGATTCTTGGTACAGCTTAATTTCTCTCAGTGGTCCTTATCTGTAGTAAGGATAGACTTGAATTGTTACTTATGGTCACCTCAACACTCTTCATGTAAACAATAAACTTCAAGTTAGTCTGGAGAACTCCCACAATGAACTTAAGTTTTGTATGGATTTAACATTCAGCAAACTCAACAACAGTGAGATGTGGCAGTTGGGCTAGACCAACCGGCATCACCAGAGTCACTGGAGATGACCTTCAATTTGTAGCTAGTAGATTGTCTTTACTACAGCCAGCTAGGACTATACTCAGGTTTTCGGACCTAAGTGTAGTCCTGAGCATTTACATCTTCCTTACACTAAGGGGCTTTTAAAAGCAAAACTGCATCCTGTATCTCATTCAGTAGTTGCAGGGGGAGGTTTAGACAAGCAAACAGTTTGACAGAAACTAAGTTAGCTGTGCCATCTTGGCCTCAAGTCCTAGAATAGTTGGGTAATTTTCCATCAAGGAAATCATTTTTAGTTAACCTTAAAATGGCCTCAGCAAGGATACAAGATGGAAGCGTCTCTGTACTATCTTGTCCTGACCCATTATAGCACCTGGTACAGAAAAACCCAGAAATCGGCCATGAGTAGCCCACAATACACTAGAGGAGGTTCCGGCGGAAACTCTTCACTTCCTGTGCACGCCTTCTATATCCGGCCACCTAAATCTCGCGAGAAGCCAGGGACGACTGGGTCGTCCAATCCAGAGCTAGCCTTGCCCTTCTCGCACGCCTGCGCATAAGGAAAAAGCAAGAGCAACGTGGACGCCGCCGGCCGTCGCGCCTGCGCTTTGGCGCGCTCCCTGTGATTGGCCCCCGTGACGCGACCACGGCGCTTTAGTTTTCACTTTCTGTCTTCTGAGCCCCCTCCCTTTCTCCTTGTTCACGAGGTTTCACTTCCGGTTGCTGGTACCCGGGGGCTGGAGAGCGGACAGCTTCCCAGGTCTGGCTTGTCTCGGAAGCTGCTTCCCGCCCGTCAGGCTGAGTGAGGGAGCGGAGCGTGCGCGCGCGGCCGGGACACCTGGGTTCGTGAGGCGACGTCGGGAGACACGGCAAGGAGAGGGGCCAGGAGGAGAAAGGGACGGGCTGGAAAAGCATGGGAAGGACACTGAGCGCTGAGCTCCACTCCTCAGAGAAGGCGCCCGCGCCGGGGACAGGTAACGCTCCCGCAGGTGTTCGGGCGTCTCGGGCGAGGACCCCCGTGGGGAGGGAAGAGCGGGGCTCGCGGGGCGCGTGTGGTGACAGGGCTGGTGGGCGGGCGCGGCGGCGCGCGGGGCCACTGGGCAGACGCCTCGGTCGCCTGGGATGCGGGGCCCCCACGCTCCTTCCCTCCGACTTGGAGAGAGTAAGGTTAGACAGGGTTTCTCCCAAGCCCGTGGAGGGCGCCGGAATGGATGTCTGCACTCTGAGGCAGAGAGCCAGGCGCGTTTTGTTTGTGTCACCTGTCACAGGGCAGCTCCATCCCCAAGGGATGTGATCAGTTCTGCACTGAAGTTTTCCCTTGGTTGGAGTTAGCCTAGCTCATCCTCCTGAGGGGTTTGGGGGAAACCCTGAGGTCGGGTTTCTGGATTCTGTAGAATCCAAGGCAACGCATGACATGGTTTACTTCTTTATTACGTGTGAATGGGCCTACCCATATGGAAGACAGCAACCGGCTGCAGCAGCGTTGAAGGAATTTTGCCCCGAAGTTGGTTAGAGGGGAGTAGCAAACGGCACTTGGTAGGAAAACGTGGCTTGACTTTCAAAACTGGAGCTAGTTTGAAAGGTCTCGGGTCTCCCTTAATCTCGGTTTAGCAATTTGACGCGCCTTACTTTAAGCTACTCTCTACTGTATTTTTTCTCAAGGTAAACTTAGAACGGGGAAGTTAATGAAAGTCTTTCCTAAACCTGTATATAAATGACCTGTATATAAATGAGGACTCACAGTGTTTCCCCTCAGAAGAGCTAAAGGAAGGCGGGGGTGAATGTGTCCTAGTATAGAATCTGAGGTTGTTGGAAATCCTACCGAAGAGGTTTAGGACAAAGCACATATACCTGATAGTGTAAGCGAATTCTCCCGTATTGGAAAATTGTTTAGTAAAGAATAGCTCCAGTGTTAGCAGTGTACATCAATACCTAGCCAGCCAAGTTAGAAAAAATAAAAGATAACCGAATAGTTGTCAATTACTGTTTTAAGGAAGATAATGTTTGAAGTGTGTTGCCAGTTCATTTCGTACATTCTTTTAAATAAAGATAAATGACATCTGGTCCAAACATTTGCGTAAGTAAATTGAAATTTGAAAACTGCCAGGAAACTTACCTGATACTACTTGTTACCTGTAGCATATCTGTTTAGCACAAATATTATTGGACATGTTTATCCTTCATGTCTTGTCAGTGGACATTTTTAAGATTTTCTTTTCTTTTTTCTTTTTTTAAGATTTTCTTATAACAGTTCTATAGAGCTGTTTTGTTGTTGTTGTTGTTTTGGTTTTTTTTTTTTGTTTCTCTGCAGCTATTATAAACAGGGTTTAGGTGCTTCTGATAACTGCTTGTAAAATCAAATTCTTATGATAATGCTAGGTAGTCTGTTAAATGCCCTGGCATGATTTTACTTTTAAGTTTTCATTCCCTTAGGTATGGTTTTTATTACTCTGTTAGTCAGCACTGGATGGTAACAATGCTTTCTAAATATCTTAACCCATCTAATAATTGAAAAAAAATCTCTTTTTAATCTTTCCTAGTGAATAGGAAAGTCAAACATTTGAGACAGTCCAATATCCCTTGTTTATGATGAGTCTGAGCACTCTGCTTTGCCCTATTTGTTACCATACTGTTTTAGTTATGGTAGCTTTATAATATACATTGATACTTTCTTTTGGGGAGTGGGGACCAGGGAAAGCTCTGGATTCTTCTTTGTTTCTTCCAGACAAATCATCTCAATCTCTATAGAAAACCACATTGCGATATTTGTGTTTGCATTGTATAGCTTATTCATTGCATTTATAGATTTGTTTAAGAAAAGGGATTTTTTTTTCCTTTTAAGAATATATTTTTATTGTGTGTGAAAATGTGTCTACCAAAAACAAAACAAAAAAACAAAAACCAAACAGGCTGTTTCTGCACATTGCTTAAATAGTGCATTACAGGTACCTAGAATTTGATTGTGTGTCTTTTCTAGAAGGAAAGTATTCCTTGAACTTCCACCATTAACTAACATATCTTGACCTGTTTTGAACTTAGGGAATCATACTTTATATTTTGTTTTACGTTCCAAAATTTATGTTACAGCATGTGTCCATGCTCCTTTACACATTTTTTTTTTAAATTATAGCCCAGGCTACCCTTGAACTTGATATATAGCAAAGGCTGGAATTGAACTCTTGATCTTCCTGATGGGGCTTCTAAAATGCTGGGATTACAAACACACTGCCATGCTGGATTTATGCCATGCTGGTGACTGAGACAGGGCTTTGTATATTCTAGACAAGCACTGGTCTACATCCCCAGCCAGTTCCTCGACATTTGTAAAAATATTGCATACTGCAGTTATATCTATTGATAATTACTACATTAGATGTTAAATTGATTATTTTCAAATATATTGATTACATCTTTACTTAAATAACATTTTTGATGAAAGATAGCTATTGACCTTTCAAAATATATTAGTGATAAGACTAACCTTGTACAATGTGTTTACAAATACATCATTGTCACCTTTAATTGCTCAGGTATTTCTGCACTTTGTTGTACAGATTGATTTAGTTGAAATATATGGCAAAATTGTCTGGTATTCTCTAGCCCAGTGGTTGGAAAAGGAGGGAGGAACATTTTAATTTCTCATAGATGTGGGCTTTTTGGTATTCATCAATTTAGATAATAGTTTCCATTTATCAAGCTTGTACTTGAGAGGGCTTTCATTCCTGTGTTAGTCATTTGGAAAATACCAGTTCCCTAAATTGCATAGATCTTCCAAATAATAATAAATATGTGTGCGCGTGCATGTGCATGTATGATATATATTTAATATATAACTACTATATATAATATATTAATACTAATAGTATACATAGTAACATGTATATATCTTCAGGGAGTCACATTTGTTAAATTAGATTTTTCTAGGACTCTGTCATATGTTTTTTAGGACTTTGTCTTAGTATTTGTCAGAGTTATTACAGGTACCCTCTTACCTATTTAAATGTTTTATTATTTTACATCTTTTAATTTTAATATTGACTATTTCTTATTACTACCCAACTGGTTTTGATTTATCTTACCTCTAATTTATACTTATATTAATCTTACCAATGAAAAATGTTTATTTTTAATTTTTCACTAAACTATTTTGATATAACTAGATGGTATATACACTTTTGTATTTTGTGTGTTTATTTTGTGGTACTAAGAATTGAATCCAAAGTTTAATACAGACCAAGCCACCCTTAAGCCATATCCTCAGCCCTGTACTTTTCTGTTTTAAGGGCTGTAAATGCTGAGTAATAGGTTATATACCTAGTATGTGTGCCACCCTGGATTAATTCCTAGCATCACTAATAAGTATAAAAGAGTATCTGTTAGAATATATTTTCTTTTTGAGACTTTGTCACTCATACTGCCCTGTACTTATGATTTCTCTGCCATGTTTCTTGAGTTTCTGGAATTACAGGTATGCCCCACCATGCTTGGCTGGAATTTTTTTAAGATTTCATTATTTAAGTTTATATATATATATATATGTATATATACATATATATATATATGAATATGAGGGTTTGTGCACTCTAGGGCAGGTAGGTACCTGTGAAGGGCAGAAGAGGATGGATCTGGAGCTACACTCAACATGGGTGCTAAGAACTGAACTGCCCATCTCTCCAGTAGCTGGAATTTTAAAAAAAAAGTTTTAAATATATAAGTCTGTTTGTATGTAAGTGTGTAAATATCTGTGTATATGTAAATATGCATGAATACTTGTGGAGTGTATGAGACAGGTGGTTGGGCCCATAAAAATGTATCTGTGTTAACATGTAAATGAAAATGTGAATAAAAATGTAAATGTGTGTATGAATATATATGTGTCTGCATATTTGTCTGTGTAAAGAATTTTAATTCTTTTCCTTTCCTTCCTCTCTGGTTCACAAAGAGTTAACCAGCCAGGCCAGTGAAGGGCTTCTGGCTGCCTGGTCTGAGAAGGGAGCAATAGCAATAACTCCTTTACTCAGCTGTTAGCAACAAGTGTCAGTAGATCCAGAGGCCTGCAGCTTCTGGCCTCAAAGTAACTTCGAGTTAAGATAGGCATACATCATTATAGAAAACACTTGCTAGACCAAGTCTTGATCCAGCCTGGTGCTAAGCTCTTGACAATATTCTCCTGTCTTCTGCTTTTTCGTTTTGTCTTTTTAAAATTGGTTTCTGATCTAATTACTGCTTTTGTCATAAGAAATCTGCCTAGGGCATACTTCTGTTTTCATTTAATAAAATATAATAACATTTAATTGGAGAAGTAAATCTCTTGCTAATTGTCAATACACTGTTGCTTGATGAAATACACCCTTTAATATGTAGCTACTTCCTCTTAGGACAAGAGCTATTTGACACCAGCTCTAGTTCATTTGGCTACAGGACCTATTTCACCTCTGTGTTCAGGGCATTTGGGGTGAAATATATGTATAGTGATGAAAGCAGTTTAAAAATGATTTTTAAAAAAATGATGTTATCTCTGCCCCTTGCTTTGTTAAAATAATAACTGAAAGAATCAAAGATGGACTTTAAAATGTAGTTGTTCCTGAAAAATGGGGTGGTTTTTTTTGTTTGTTTGTTTTTTTGGTTTGGTTTGGTTTGGTTTGGTTTTTCGAGACAGGGTTTCTCTGTGTAGCCCTGGCTGTCCTGGAACTCACTCTATAGACCAGGCTGGCCTCGAACTCAGAAATCCACCTGCCTCTGCCTCCCAAGTGCTGGGATTAAAGGCATGCGCCACCACTGCTCGTCATTTGTTTTGTTTTTTAAAAGATATTTTCTGAGAAAAACCACTTAATATCTTTTTGGGAGGTACTCAACATATCAATGAGTTTGGTACTGTTGCTTCATTGAAAATTAATAGTTTAATGCTAAAGCATAAGTTCATAAACCCAACTTGATAAGTTAGAACATTGGCCACAGAGTTTATATGGATGTC